GGCCAGCGCCCCCCGCTCCCCCGACACCGGGCCGGTCCCGGAGCTCCGTCTTGCACCGGTGCGGCCCCCGGGGCACCCGAGGCCCGGTCTCAAGCGGGTCCCGGGGCCGCTCGTAGCTCCCCCCCCGCCACAACGCCCCGGCTCCTGCTCCGCGGCGCGAGGCCCCTCACGGCCAGCGCGAGGCCCCTCACAGCCAGCGCGCGGGGCAAGGGCCGCGCTAACGGCCAGTAACGGCCCGGCGCGCGCCTGAGGAGAACCCGCCGCTCGCCCCGCGGGAATGAGACGGGCCTCCGACCCTGCCCGGAGCCCCCCTCGCCCCTCCGAGGCCCGGGCTGCTCGCCGGGGCTGAAGGGCAGGGATCAGCCCTGTTAACAGCCAGACGCCACGGGATCAAGCCGTTTTTAACGGATGAAATAACCACCAGCAGCACCAGCAGCAGCATTTGATAGTTTGATTACGATTTCTCCTCGGCCCTTCATTATCAGTTAATGGAAAATAGGGCCCGAAGAGCTGAAAAACCTCAATCTATTTTATGCCACAAGAAACAGGCTAAATCCAAGCCATTAGCTAAATGCGACATTTCCAAGGGCACAAAATCCCTTTTTGATCCCGCGTGTTCTCCGGGACTCGCCCCTCCAGCTGCAGCCCCGTCAGCCCCCAAAGGCAACTGTCAGGGCATCGACTTGTAATAAAATGATCACAGAATCGTCATGATTGGAAAGGACCTCTGAGATCACCGAGTCCAACCATACACACGCACACAAAAACCCCTACAATCTCAGGCATTAGAACCTGCCCCACAAAACCCCCTACAATCTCAGGCATTAGAACCTGCCCTGAAGAGCCACATCTATACCCTTCTTCAATACCTCCAGGGATGGCGACTCCACCACCTCCCTGGGCAGGCTGTTCCAGTGCCTGACCACCCTCTCAGCAAAGTCATTCTTCCTGATATCTAATCTAAACCTCCCCTGCCACAGCTGCACACCATTTCCTCTGGTCCTCTCTACACCCAGCTCTCTCCACCCTCCTTTCAGGGAGTTGTAGAGGGCAATGAGGTCTCCCCTCAGCCTCCTCCAAACTCAACATGCCCAGTTCCCTCAGCCTCTCCTCACAAGACTTGTTCTCCAGACCCCTCACCAGCTCTGTTGCCCTTCTCTGGACATGCTCTAGCACCTCAATGTCCTTCCTGTGGTGAGGGGGCCCAGAACTGACCAGAGCCCTCAAGGTGAGGCCTCACCAGTGCCCAGTACAGAGGCACGATGACTTCCCTACTCTCGCTGGACACACTATTCCTGATACAAGCCAGGATGCTGGTGGCCTTCTTGGCCACCTGGGCACACTGCTGGCTCATGTTCAGCCGGCTGTCCACCAACACCCCCAGGTCCTTTTTTGCTGGGCAGCCCTCCAGCCACTGTGCCCCAAGCCTGTAGTGTTGCCTGGGGCTGTTGTGACCCAAGTGCAGGACCTGGCACTTGCCCTTGTTGAACCTCATCATGCTCTAGTGATATGGTTAGTCTAAATTACAAATTTAATGTCTGATTCTAAAAATCCTTCGTTTTGTTTGTTACAAGTACTTGAAGTTGTTTCCCAGGTGCAACCATTCAACTGTAGGAGATTGGGGTCCTTTCCCCACCATCACCTCATCACTTCTCACTCCCTTGGCCACACCGAGCACAACCCAAATGCCCTCCCAAGGCCCCTGCCCAGAAGAAGGTACTGCTGCTCTCCCCCCACAGCACCGTGCCTGGTAGAAACCACAGTGCAGCAAACCACAGATAAAAGCTTGTTTTAACCACATTTCAGCACGATCCTCTTCAGCAGTTTGCCCTGGACAGATGGGATTACCATCCATGCAGCTGCACATTAGTGCCTCCGAGGCACACAAATTGAAAGGGCTGCTGTCAAAAGAATTTTCTTACACAGACCAGCTAAATTAAGTCTCCCATGTCAAGAATGAAAAATAATTTTCGAATACAATGACTTCTCTAGATAACAGGGGAAAATCCTTCACCTTCTAACAGCTCTTTCCTGGAAAGATCCAAATATTCACGTTTCCTAAATCTGCAATCTTAGTATGTCATCCTACGCTCTACAACAGTTCCTCAGGCTATGGTTTCAGAAGACAAGGGCATCAGCAAGACCACCACCTTAGAAAGTTCCCATGTGTGAGACTCCTTCCAATTGTTGTCCCCTCTGGGCAACCACAATTGTGTCAGAGCCGCCCCTTTGCTGAGCCTGCGAGCCAGGCAACTCATTAATCCATGTTATTTTTGATTACTTTTGAGAAGAGAAAAGGGATGGGGGAGGAAGACTCTCAGCACAGCCCCAGGGGCAGGGGCATTCCAAAGCCAGGGACAGAGATTCCAAAACACAGATTGCTGGCAAAGTCACCAGACCATGAAATCAAGCCCCTGATCAACTGCCTGCCTTCATCTTCTTCCAGGGTTACGGTTTTCCCTTCTTCTTAAAGAAGGCTTCACTAAGAACCAAGAGCAACATGGTACCACTCAGTATTTATAGGCTGAAAATCTTTCAAATCAAGAATCACAGAACGATACGGGGTTGGAAGGGACCTCTGGAGATCATCTAGTCCAATCCCCCCACCGAAGTGGGTCTACCTAGAGCAGGTTGCACAGGAACATGTCCAGGTGGGGTTTGAATGTCTCCAGAGAAGGAGACTCCACCACCTCTCTGGGCAGCCTGTTCCAGGGCTCTGCCACCCTCACAGCAAAGAAGTTCCTCCTTGTGTTTAGGTGGAACTTCTTATATTCAAGTTTGTGCCCATTTCCTTTTGTCCTGTCACTGGGCACCACTGAAAAAAGATTGGCCCTTTCCTCCTGACACCCACCCTTGAAGTATTTATAAGCATTGATCACATCCCCCCTCAGCCTTCTCTTCTCCAGACTAAACAGACCCAAGTCCCTCAGCCTTTCCTCATAAGAGAGATGCTCCAGGTCCCTCATTGTCTTTGTAGCCCTCTGCTGCACCCTCTCCAGCAGTTCCCTGTCTCTCTTGAACTGGGGAGCCCAGAACTGGTCCCAGTGCTCCAGATGGGGCCTCCCCAGGGCAAAGCAGAGGGGGCAGGATGACCTCCCTCCACCTGCTGGTCACACTCTTCCTGATGCCCCTCAGGATGCCATTGGCCTTCTTGGCCACAAAGGCACAAATGAAGAGGGTGATAAACATGCTCCACACCTGTGTTTTTTGAAGGGTAGAGAAAACCCTTTTTAGTCCTTTCTGAGCAATTCTCAACATACATTTCATGAGTGCGCCTTCGTCCCATGCAGCAGGTAACCAGGTCTGTGTTATCTCATACCAGATAGGCCGAGTTTTTTAGATCAAAAAAAAAAAACAAAAACTTGATCATAACAAAATACAGTTGCAAAACTCTCCGGATAGTCAGTTACCATGCAAGCTCTCCCCTCAAAGAGGAGCAATTCATCTCATGATGCTTTCCAGGGAACCCAGACCAGCAGCCAAGAATTATGATCAGACCACAGGGCTCCTGGCCCACACCACAGCAGGAACAGGGAACTGGATCAGAACCTTTTCTTTCAATCGTGAAAGCCTGAGGAGTAGAAAGGAGGACAAGACAGAGCCCAGACTTCTCTAGACTAACCCAGAGATACCGCTCTGCAATTCAAATGAAATTTGAATTGAATTTGTAATTCAAAGTAGTAGCTTCAACAAAAAAACCACAAACCCACATGGAAAACCATTTATTTCATCTCTATTGTCTCCATGCAGAGCAGACCAATACAGATGAAGGGGGAAAATGCATAAGAGCAGCTGAAAAAATAGAGCTAGAAAATACGATTCTCTCTGCATTTCCAAAAGTGACAAATGTGGTGGAGTGATGCTCCATTTCCTCCCAAGGCTCTCCATCCTCAGCCCCAGGTCTGATGTAGTGGAAAACTAACCATCCTCTCCCTCCCACAAGCCCTGTGCAAGCTCCAGGGTATCTTCCCAAGAACCGTAGACTGTCCGAGCCCGTGGGAGCAGCCAAAAAAAACAACTCAGGAATTCTTTCTTCAGTGTCATCCGCTTCACATTCCTGAACGCTGAGCACAAAACCCTGACTGTGGCTTTCAGTCTTGGCAAGGCTCAGCGCTGATGCAACAAGGCCAACTCACGGGCACTCACCTGGCAAGGCCTCAACTTAAATGCCAACCTCATTTCGAGAAAGCCACCTTGGGAAACAGCAGGCACATCCCTTCTGTGCAAACCTGCTTCCTCCAGAGCCCTACTACATGGTCCGCTTCGCTTCAGTCCTTGGGGAAAGGGGAGTGGGGAAGGGTGGAAAAAACTCTCCAAAGCTAGAACTAGAGGGTTTAGCAAACTCCCCAGTTGGATTAATCCTCCTTCCAGGAAAGCAGGAAGCGGATGCTACCTTCGTGACAACTGAATGATAGAGGGAGTAAATTGGCAAAGGAAGGCAATTTTGTAAAGAGGAATAAAAACATTGCACTAAGCCTCCCTTGTTGTTGCAGTGAAACTGGTTACTGATGTAAGCCTGGGGTAAGGAAAGCTGAAAAAAAAAAAATTTAAACAGCAGTTCCTGGGCAGAGAGAACAGCCCCAGGGGCAGGGGCATTCCAAAGCCAGGGACAGAGATTCCAAAACACAGATTGCTGGCAAAGTCACCAGACCATGAAATCAAGCCCCTGATCAACTGCCTGCCTTCATCTTCTTCCAGGGTTACGGTTTTCCCTTCTTCTTAAAGAAGGCTTCACTAAGAACCAAGAGCAACATGGTACCACTCAGTATTTATAGGCTGAAAATCTTTCAAATCAAGAATCACAGAACGATACGGGGTTGGAAGGGACCTCTGGAGATCATCTAGTCCAATCCCCCCACCGAAGTGGGTCTACCTAGAGCAGGTTGCACAGGAACATGTCCAGGTGGGGTTTGAATGTCTCCAGAGAAGGAGACTCCACCACCTCTCTGGGCAGCCTGTTCCAGGGCTCTGCCACCCTCACAGCAAAGAAGTTCCTCCTTGTGTTTAGGTGGAACTTCTTATATTCAAGTTTGTGCCCATTTCCTTTTGTCCTGTCACTGGGCACCACTGAAAAAAGATTGGCCCTTTCCTCCTGACACCCACCCTTGAAGTATTTATAAGCATTGATCACATCCCCCCTCAGCCTTCTCTTCTCCAGACTAAACAGACCCAAGTCCCTCAGCCTTTCCTCATAAGAGAGATGCTCCAGGTCCCTCATTGTCTTTGTAGCCCTCTGCTGCACCCTCTCCAGCAGTTCCCTGTCTCTCTTGAACTGGGGAGCCCAGAACTGGTCCCAGTGCTCCAGATGGGGCCTCCCCAGGGCAAAGCAGAGGGGGCAGGATGACCTCCCTCCACCTGCTGGTCACACTCTTCCTGATGCCCCTCAGGATGCCATTGGCCTTCTTGGCCACAAAGGCACAAATGAAGAGGGTGATAAACATGCTCCACACCTGTGTTTTTTGAAGGGTAGAGAAAACCCTTTTTAGTCCTTTCTGAGCAATTCTCAACATACATTTCATGAGTGCGCCTTCGTCCCATGCAGCAGGTAACCAGGTCTGTGTTATCTCATACCAGATAGGCCGAGTTTTTTAGATCAAAAAAAAAAAACAAAAACTTGATCATAACAAAATACAGTTGCAAAACTCTCCGGATAGTCAGTTACCATGCAAGCTCTCCCCTCAAAGAGGAGCAATTCATCTCATGATGCTTTCCAGGGAACCCAGACCAGCAGCCAAGAATTATGATCAGACCACAGGGCTCCTGGCCCACACCACAGCAGGAACAGAGAACTGGATCAGAACCTTTTCTTTCAATGGTGAAAGCCTGAGGAGTAGAAAGGAGGACAAGACAGAGCCCAGACTTCTCTAGACTAACCCAGAGATACCGCTCTGCAATTCAAATGAAATTTGAATTGAATTTGTAATTCAAAGTAGTAGCTTCAACAAAAAAACCACAAACCCACATGGAAAACCATTTATTTCATCTCTATTGTCTCCATGCAGAGCAGACCAATACAGATGAAGGGGGAAAATGCATAAGAGCAGCTGAAAAAATAGAGCTAGAAAATACGATTCTCTCTGCATTTCCAAAAGTGACAAATGTGGTGGAGTGATGCTCCATTTCCTCCCAAGGCTCTCCATCCTCAGCCCCAGGTCTGATGTAGTGGAAAACTAACCATCCTCTCCCTCCCACAAGCCCTGTGCAAGCTCCAGGGTATCTTCCCAAGAATCATAGACTGTCCAGGCCCGTGGGAGCAGCCAAGAAAAACAACTCAGGAATTCTTTCTTCAGTGTCATCCGCTTCACATTCCTGAACGCTGAGCACAAAACCCTGACTGTGGCTTTCAGTCTTGGCAAGGCTCAGCGCTGATGCAACAAGGCCAACTCACGGGCACTCACCTGGCAAGGCCTCAACTTAAATGCCAACCTCATTTCGAGAAAGCCACCTTGGGAAACAGCAGGCACATCCCTTCTGTGCAAACCTGCTTCCTCCAGAGCCCTACTACATGGTCCGCTTCGCTTCAGTCCTTGGGGAAAGGGGAGTGGGGAAGGGTGGAAAAAACTCTCCAAAGCTAGAACTAGAGGGTTTAGCAAACTCCCCAGTTGGATTAATCCTCCTTCCAGGAAAGCAGGAAGCGGATGCTACCTTCGTGACAACTGAATGATAGAGGGAGTAAATTGGCAAAGGAAGGCAATTTTGTAAAGAGGAATAAAAACATTGCACTAAGCCTCCCTTGTTGTTGCAGTGAAACTGGTTACTGATGTAAGCCTGGGGTACCGTAGACTGTCCGAGCCCGTGGGAGCAGCCAAAAAAAACAACTCAGGAATTCTTTCTTCAGTGTCATCCGCTTCACATTCCTGAACGCTGAGCACAAAACCCTGACTGTGGCTTTCAGTCTTGGCAAGGCTCAGCGCTGATGCAACAAGGCCAACTCACGGGCACTCACCTGGCAAGGCCTCAACTTAAATGCCAACCTCATTTCGAGAAAGCCACCTTGGGAAACAGCAGGCACATCCCTTCTGTGCAAACCTGCTTCCTCCAGAGCCCTACTACATGGTCCGCTTTCGCTTCAGTCCTTGGGGAAAGGGTGGAAAAAACTCTCCAAAGCTAGAACAAGAGGGTTTAGCAAACTCCCCAGTTGGATTAATCCTCCTTCCAGGAAAGCAGGAAGCGGATGCTACCTTCGTGACAACTGAATGATAGAGGGAGTAAATTGGCAAAGGAAGGCAATTTTGTAAAGAGGAATAAAAACATTGCACTAAGCCTCCCTTGTTGTTGCAGTGAAACTGGTTACTGATGTAAGCCTGGGGTAAGGAAAGCTGAAAAAAAAAATTTTAAACAGCAGTTCCTGGGCAGAGAGAACTGCAAGCACAAGCTCTCCGGCGCTCTCTGAAAAGTAGGACAGGAGCTGTCATAAAAAAAGAACTGTGTCAACAGTTCAGGAATCTCTTAGGGAATTAAATGCCTCTGCCGTGGGCAGCATACCTGCCCCGTTGCTGACCCGAATCGCCCTCTCGATAAGGCCCTGTGCAGACTGGAGAGCTGTACTGATTTATCAACGCTGTTTAAAAGAGAGCTGAGTTGGTGTAATACGCGCTGTGGCACCCGTTTTGTGTCCAACGACTCCGCTAGTTCAATTAGACCTGATTTTAAACAGATTTAAGCAAAGTGAGGATACGCTCTGCAGAAGGGATGATCTAGTAATTGTGCACATCTCTGTGGCAACAAAATATCCCTGGGGAACACTGGCCTGGTCAGCCCTGGGAGCTGGGATGTGGAAAAGCACTAGAAATGCATTTTATTTTTACTGGTCTCAAATCGCCAAAAAATTTATCCCAACAGAAAACTCGTCTTAAAGCATACTTACTGTCACCCTTTCACATCCCTTTCTCTCCTAATTTAGCACATAGCTTTTCTAGACCTGTTTTTTAAAATCTTTTCCCCAGAAGTTTCACCCTTCCCACTTCACCCTCCCTTCAGTATTATTTCCTGCTGTGCCCCTTCCTTTAAAGGCTGTCAGCATTACTTCTTATCCCTTTGTCCCCAACAGACTAACTCCACCGTGAGGTAAGAAGCCCGGAAATAGGCCACCATTGATATTTTTGGTTATAGCACGTTCTTAAATAGTCTACAATTGACAGAGGAAAAGCTACCTGTGGGTCATCGGCTCCTGACCAGGCTGTAGCGCTCAACTTTTGCCCAAACTGCTTAGACCTCTGCCATGACAGTCTAGGACTGCTGCAGTGTGCCAGGCAGGGCTAACAGGCTACACCTCAAGAGAGCTCTGAAACTTTGGTGTGGAGTAGAGGGTGGGTGAGTTGGGTCTCGAAAGCGGGCTGAGAGCCATGTTCAGCTAATGGGTATGAAGAGAGGGAGCTCTGTCACAACAGCCACGTGGCCTTCCTTCCAGACGTAGGTGAGCTGGTAGTATGGCAACAGAAGAAACATTTACTGACTGCTTTTCAGATAAACAGCTAGGTGTGCTGGCTATTGGAGTGGTTTGGGCTGAGGCAAGTAATCTCCAAGCTGAGCCATTTAATTGTAGTGACCTATCCTAAAGTGCCTCAAGCTTTTGGTTCGATTTCAGCATAAACAAATACAAAATAGACCAAAGAGGTGGGCTGCTGAGGCTAATACTATCTTTAGGAACAAGTGATGTCAATGAAAAGCCGGAGATCAACTTGGAAAGGGTCTTTTCCCCTCTATCTCATAGCACCGTAACTTCTCGTGGGCAGGGAGCTCTGGCTAAAGCTGTTAGCTTATTGTTTCTTTGCCATTCTTGTTCTGCCTCCAGCCATTAGAGTGGTAGGAAAAGTGCTTCCTCTTCATCAGCTACAGGAATCGCCTCTGTTGTTTTCACACAAGAGCTTGGGAGGTGCAGTTCCATCAGAATGAACAGAATGAAATATTGTCCATTTGCTGTGGAGCAGTTGTTCAGTTCATTTCTGCTCACTGTTATCTTTTGCTCCATAAAAAAAAAAAACAAAAACCAAACTAACAAAAAAACCCAAAAGACCCAATGTGTGGATTTTAGCAGAACAGGGATAGGAGAGCCAGGGAATGAAGTCTTGCACACCCAGACCTCTTTCTCACCTGCTTCTCATACTAGCAGCCAGATCTGCACACTCACACATAGGAAGTAACATTAGTGTTCCTTATTGCTTTGTAACAGCTCAGAGTCACCGTGGTGGCTCTGGGAGGCATCATGAGGTCTGCGCAGAGGTCACTCAGTTGTGAGCGAGAGTAGCACCATGACTGTAATGCCTGTACACAGGAGCAGAATTTGCTGCAGGGAGTTCCTGGGAAAGAAACAGCAAAATTAGGAAAAGCCACAGACCAATCCCAATAGGTTCGTGAACGGTTTGTTCTTTGCCCTTCCAAACCTACCAACATGGAGAGCACACCAGCTGTATGAAGGCACTACCAAGAGGTTACCAATCCAAAGGCAAGATCCCCATTGGTAACATTTCTCCACCAGAGGCTCCTGCCTCTTCAGATAATAACTGTGGAGCTGGTTTTTTGAGTGCTTTGTTAACTGTTTTAGTCAAAATGAACTAGCTGAGTCTGCCTCTTCAGATGACTGTGGAGCTGTTTTTTGAGTGCTTTGTTAACTGTTTTAGTCAAAATGAACTAGCTGAGCCAAGGCTTCTTGGCTACTGACCCACTGAAGTTACCTATCTCATTACAACTGAAATAGGAGAGAACATTCAGAGGCAGCTCTGCCAGCAGATCTGAGAGGCCTTTACTGTGGTACAGCTGGATTTGGACCTGCTACACCCTTAATCAGGCTGCAAAAACTATAATACTACAAATGAGGGGAGGCCAAATATAGCAGAATATATATACCAGTGTAGAAGAAAGATGACTGAGGTGGCATATAATAACAGACTATGAAATGCTGAACGATATAGAGAAGAAAACTATTATTTTCTACTCACACAGCAACACAGCAGCATCTAGTAAAGATTAATAAGCAAGGAAAAAAACCCCTCAATAATAAGAAGCATCATTTAACACACTGCTGTCAAATAATGCAAACTTGCTGCAGAAGGCAGATCACAGAAGCCCAAAATAATGGATAGGGTTAAAAAAGGACAAGGCCCTGGTTCAGACAGCCCCCTAAACCTCTACACAACAGAAGCTGACAAGACTGGAGAACAAGTCACCTTACTGGACTTGTTTCTAAGCAACCTGCTCTAGCTGGTCATGCTACATATGGCTCTAGCACAATCTTTGGGACTGACCCAGTTGAAGGTTCTCATGTTTTATAGGGTCTTTGCAGCCCCATAAATGCAATAGCTAGCGCAGCAGTCTACCTAGATTCCAGCCTTGCCCGTGGGATTTGGAAAGCTGGCATTCATGTGCTCCCAGAACAGGCATGGAGAGGGGTTATATCCCCACTCTCTGGCAGCAGGAACTGCTGCAGCAGAACAGGAGGGAGCACTTACCAAGGGTTCTTTTCCTCCAGGAGATCAGGCACGACATTTACCAAGGCAATATACAGAAATCCTCCAGAAGTGAAAGGAAGGATCCAGGCTACCGTTTCCCCTGCAGAAATACAGAAAGCTTTTGTTATTATGGAGACAAAGACATGGGAGAGAACAGAGAAGGCAAAGCAGATGCACACATGGGGATGACAGGCCCCACCCTCCCATTCCTACAGAGGTCCCAGGGAGCCTTACCTGCTCCTTTGGGTGACTGAGCACATATTGCAAAGCAGGCTCCTAGAATCCCCCCCAGAGCTGTGGAAAGCTGCATCTTGGCTGCACTCCAGCGGTCAAAGCCAGCCCGAAGGAGGATTGCAAAGTCTCCAACCTAAGAAAACCAAGAGCTAACAGTTAACGAATACGGACATTCTCAGACACAAGACCAGTGCTTCAAGACTGTTTCTGGTTTTCCATGTTGCCAGTCTCCCAGAGGGAGCAGCCTTCAAAAGGACAAGAGAATGATAACCAGACACAGCCCTCCTCTTAGTAGATGAAGCACCCTTGTAATCTCTCATGATGGCAGAATGGCCCATCTCACCTCATGTGGGATTTCATGCAGGAGAATGGCCATTGTGGTTAGGAATCCAACCTGTAGCAGAGGAGAGAAGATGATTAGGAAACAGTACCCTCAGCTCTGAGAGATGAGACTTTCACCAGCATGTCAAGGCCCCTTTCTCTAAGTCAAGAATTGTCACTTAGAGTTTAGAACTATTCAACAAAAGGGTAGATGAGCTAACCCTTCCCCTGATGCCAGCACAAATGACTAACATGTCCCACGTTTGAAGAAGCTCTGCATCAGAGGGTCAGGATAGGGTTGCTCTTTACTGTTGCCTCCATTTTCTCAGAAACTTCCAGAAAATAGGAGGGAACTCCTCACATCTTTGAGGTCTTTTTTGCATGATGACTCACATATGAGAACAGGCCTCTCCAGTTCAGTACACAGCTGGTGGCAGAAACCTTACCTTTCTGCTGACCAGGAAGCTGGCTGCTACTGCCAGGCCATGTGTGAAGTTATCGATGGTGTTGGCCAGCAGATTGAGGTATCCACTAATCTGCAAAGAGAAGGAAGAGCCCTTGATAAATGCAGAAACATAACAAGACAAAAGAAAGTGCATGGCTTAGACAAAGGTTATGCAGGGTCAGTCAGATGGGAAAGGTCAGGACACGGCACGTCTTTGGATCTTCTGAGGAAGACCTGAAACTATGTCAGTGGTCAAGTATAAACTGTTATGTTCAGTTTTAGAGTAAACTAAGTTTTAGGGTAGGCAAGTACTGTCTGAGATTAGGATAACCATCTTATGCAAATGACAAAGAGCTCTAGAAACAGAAAATGAGAAAGGAAAATGAAGAAAGCAAAAATGAATAATATATCTGATTCCAAATACAACCAATTTTAGCTAACACTAATTTACACAGCTGACTGGCTTCAAATATGACCTGACCTTGTTTTCTAGTCATGTACTTTAATATCCAATGGTTAAATAGCTCCTCTTCAAAAGCTGGCAAGAACAATGCAACAGAACAAATGCTGCTGAAATTGCTTTTTATAACTAAACAAATTTTCAAGCATTGTACTAAAAAAACACTTGTGCTTGTGGGTTTGCTTTCCCTTACCAAAGAATAAAAAGAGAAGATAGTGATGACAGTCACCAAAAAACCACCTACTGGAAGGCTGGAGAGCATGTATATGCATTTGCATATAAACACATTTTTAAAAATTATAAGCATAAAGCAGCTTCCTTCCTTACAAGTCCATCTCCATGTTAGGCTATCACGATAACTATGGTCATCTCCAGACAAATTCTGAGTATTTGACGTAAAGTGATTTATGAGGGTACTGCTCTAGATTTTTGCTCAAAGGTTTTTGGGAAATTTCCTTCAGATTTAACAAAAACTACTGCGTGTGGGTCCTGAGATACTGCATTTCGCTATACGGTACTGCAGTTTAAATTATCAGTTCAGCTGGAAAAATACAAGTGCTGATGGGTTTCATGTGCCCTTCTGGTCTCCTGCTCTTCCCTGTTTTTACCAAATTCTGCTGGGGGCACCTTTTCTTCCTGCCACCTGCAGGCCGCAGCTCAGGTCAGGCTTGCTGTCAAGTCTTCCTCCCCAAAGCATCACCTTTCTGCAGGACACTTCTACTGCACAATCCCAAGACATCCTTATAGGCTCTGCCCTTTTAAAAGTGCATGGATGATTAAATATGAAAATAAATAATTCCGCAAAATCTAACTACAGATCACGTTGAAGTAATAACCTACCTAACATCTCTACAATGGATGCAGAAGTAGTTCCCTGTGTATTTTTGTAAGAAGGGGAACACAAAGGGATGCATGCAGGCAGACCCATCAACACAGCAGTTTTACTTCTCATTCCTCATTTTCAGTCAAATATAACTGCTTAAAATGTATCCTTTTCATGTTGGGATTTTATGTGATTGCATTTTCCCCACAGGCTAGTAATAATTATTCACAGAAGTTTTACACAAAAATGCTTTCCCATACCACCGTATAGGGAAAAAAATAGACTTCATGATTAAAACATTATGACTTTTTCCTGTCAGTGGCTTGGGCAAAAGCTGTCATTGAAAGAAGCAAAGCCTTGGAGTGCTCAGAAATAAATTGGGTTGATTTGACAGTTATGAGCTTCTGACATTTACATTCCACGAATTCCTAATAGGATATTCTCGTTGCTCATAAAGCACACAGCCAGATGAAGTGTTTATGTTCATGCTTCAGAATTAATGTCACTGTGCAATAAAACATACTTCTACAAATCAGCAAAGACCCCGTATGCCACAGGGAAGAAAAAAGAATAAGCAAGACAAAAGTACTCTACAGTGTTTTTACTCGTTGAGGGAATAAAGGCTGCAATGCAGGACAGAACTGATCTATGGGTGCAAAGGGAGGCTCCCACCTGCAGTTTTCAAGCAAGGACAAATCATTACAGCAGCAGCTGAAGAGCAAAAGTTCTAATATATATGTACAAAGGATGACTGATTACAGCTCACTAATCATTAAGCCCTGAAGGATGACTTTGTTTAAATAGTACCTTTCACTTTTTTTTTTTTTTTCTTTAAAAAAAAGGGGGTTCAAGGAGGAATAAAAAAAACCTGTATATTTATTCTGACCCAATGAAAAACACGGAGAGCTGAGGGTAAGATAGTACCTTTCACTTTTTTTTTTTTTTTCTCTGAAAAAAAAGGAGGTTGCAGAGTGAATAACAGAACCAAAGAAGTCTGGCTTGCTATGGCTTTCTCTCTTTTCTTTGCAAGCACCTACTTTGCTCCCTTCCAGCCAACACTGGTTTCCCTTTGTGTCCCTTCCCCTCCCTGCACTGCCTGACAGCCACTTCCCCCCCAGGTAGGGGCAGCCAGACTTACCTGCTGATCTGCCAAGCAGCAACGTGGTGTTAAGTTCTGCCAGTTTTTCAACAGGGCATTAGTTTGCATTCCTCCTCTACCGCCACGCTGATTTTTAGGGAACTTGCAGAAATTTTGATTACCCTCAAGACTTCTATCCTCTCTCGAACTCAGGTAAAATTAATTGCAGGTTCAAAAGTTATTGAAAATGAAGGGCAGAACAGATGGACAGACAGATGGAATGACTGCTTATGCTGTTGCCTAAGGAAACGGGCTAACAACGCAGGAATATCTTGGTAGTTTTGGTAATCTCCCCCCTATCAGAAAGACTATTATTATGTTCAGATTATACACTCAGAAAGTAGAAAGTTAAAATTACACAAGTTAACTCATTAGTTTCTAGTTGACATATTTAGAAGTCTGTAACACTGAGCAGACACGATAGGGTTTTAAAGCTAGAAAGGCTCTCCATTGTCTAGACCTTCTAGGTAACACAACTGAAGTGATCTCATTCAATTTCTGCACAAAGCCCATTGTTTCCTAAGATACAGCCTGCTTTCTCCAAAGTAGCTTAAATCACAGGTTAAAGCCCACTAGTGACAAAGAATCTCCTATGTCTCTAAGGTAAGTTGGTGCACTGGCAAGTTAGCCCCAGGTACAGAGTTGTCTTTGATTTCTACTCTGCTACAGTTCAGTATAGCTTTAACTATTCAAATTGAGTCATGTCTCTACACGGGTATTTGTATATTTTAAGTGACCCCTAATCTGTCACATCTACAGAGCTAAAGACTAAAGAAAACCACTTCTTATCATGTACTGTAAACCTAAAATAAGTATTTCAGCTCTTTCCCGATGCCTTTACAAATTATCAGTAGTATTTTACATATCGTGCATTACACTACTGGAAAAAGTCAGACAGCTGTTTTGTTACTGCTATGTAGAAAGAGGAACACTTGCCTCTTCTCTTATGTACTGTTTCCTACTCACCCATCCTTCTGGCTGTAGCACAATAATGGAAGAACACGTTCAGACAATTTCCTACTGTGATTTTCATACCTTTTTCCAAGGCACTGACTTCCTGGAAACCGTCCCTATCTTGTAAATGTGATCTGCATTCTTTCCTAAATATTTGCATGTACCAAAACATGTTAAAATTCAGCTCTTTTGATGAAATTACTCAGCTTAGTCAGGATCACTGACCTCATGCAGTCACAATGTGCCATTTAAGTAATGTAGTACTATCTGCAAATGTGAAGATATACTGGTTTTATAAATAACCACTTAGAAAAAGCATAAACCATCAGCAAACAGATTTGAGGGAGCTGCATTAATCTAGTCCCTGCTTAATATAGTATATATAATATAGAATAAATGATTTTTAATACAGCTAATACTAGCAAATTTGATTTTGCACAGTACTAGTTTTATTAAAATGTGGGAGAAAGTTATGTCTCATATATTTTCCAGCATCATAACCTCTATCAAACGATCTTATGAGTGAATAAAAGGCTGGGGAAAATGTCTGGTTTGCAAGAATTTATCCTCCCTAAGAGCGTATCAATTAGCATTAATTACATTATTATTTTTTACATTAGGACCAGGCCCTGAGCAATTGTGTCCCGCATGAGTGTTTCATTTCTATTTGAAATCAGTGGTAGACTAACCATCCTCTAAGTCTGTAGTTCCTTATATAAACGTTTCTAAAATAATGGCACAATGTTTCATAACCCAGTAATACTGGTTACTTCACCACTATCACCCCTAGAAACGCCAACGCAGCACCTTGCAGTTTGTACACTGCTCTGTACAGATTACGTGAATGCGACAGATATCAAAAATACCCAGTGACCTCAGCATTTCTTTCACATTGTGTAGTAAGAGCTAAAAAGTTACAGCAAAATACATTTAAAATAGAAAGACCAAAGAGCCTCTGACTGACCACATGTCCAGATTTGGGCTAGTTCATGCAACCACACTTTCCGTTCATAGCTACTCTCCTCCAATCTTGCACATTTTTATGGGCTTTCAAACTCAAATTACAGGTCCTCCTTCACCAAAGCAGTTGTTTACCCTCTTGCTTGTAATGTTCACCCAGACAGGGGTTTCTGCAGTGCAAAGATAGTAACATAAAACTGAGAGCAAAGCCAACCGCGAGGTTAGCCACTGCCCAATGGCACAGCACCCGTTTTCCCTCCTCCACCTCCAATCCTGTGAGCGTGATGATCTCCCTCATCCCATCACTACAGGCTGCCTATCTACATGCCAAGCTAATTCAAGAAGTTAAGTTAGGAGAGAAATAAACCTGGGGTTGGGGAAAGAAAAAAATAATTCTTTGCCTGTTTAGCTCCCTGAGTAGGCTCAATGTGTGGTCAGATGAGGTCCAGTGCAAAAGAAGTGATGGGAAGCAAAGGACTGGAGGCAGAAGTGAACAAGAAGCCCTTTTTGCCAGCAGATAAACTGCTGAGAAACTGAACTAAGTGTTACAGTGGGCAGCTTCAACTGGCAAAACGCTTCCAAATGGTACCTTAAATGGAAACGTGCAGCTCAACTGGTACAATGCAGATGCTAGAGAATAGAGAAATCACAGCAGAAAAAATTAAGCAAATTAAGATATAACTACTATATGTTATAAAGTAACAAAATGTGAAAAGAGACTTTGGTCTCAGGATTCAGCCAAAACGCACGTCATCAGACTTATGCCTTCACAATAGTGACTTTGCCTCTTTTGCATAAGCTGCAGTGCAGATTTTCCCCAAGCTCGATGATCCCAAGGGTCTCTTCCAACCTAGACGATTCTGTGATTCTATTCCCTCCCTGCTGTGACTTGGGCAGACACTTTGACAGAGCAAAATTAAGCACAACTCATTTAAACACTGAGTTCCTCACTCAGGCATGATTCTTTCCACGGATAACTCATCCTTCTGTCTGAATATTAAAATATGTGCCCCAAAGAGATGTGAAGGTCAGTTTGTGGGTCTCTTACCTTGATTCTGTTGTCTTTTGGACACGACTGGAGAGAGGAGCCGTTACACTGAGTTGAACCCTTTCCTGCTCTTTGGGATTGGCCTGCCACCTTCGGCAGCGGGTAGCCACTTCCATTGGGAATCTTTCTAGCTGGTGCTTTGGAATCACAGCCCTAAATTAGGGGAAAACAACTTGTCACTGCCTTTTTGTCATTGATGAATGAGCGTGAATCAGGCTCAGAAATCCAATCTTCACCCTTAATCCTTTTGTCTTTACAATGCAAAGCAGCAGCTTTGGTACCCCAGCTAAATAAGGACAACTGCCAGAAATGAGACAGATTTCAGAGAGCATTGTGAACATCTGCACTGTGAGACAAGAACAAAGACTTCCCCAGTCACCCAAGAGCAGGAAAGCAGAGAGGAGGAACAGGAGTCACACCCCTTGGCATGAACCAGCTTCCACTGGAAAGAGGAGGGACTGAGTCTGCTGCTCCTGCTGGCAGCTGCTGCCCAGAGAAATACAGCTCCATCTGGGTAGGGGACGGGGGAAAAAAAGTTGTACTGAGTCTAGAGAATTATTCCAAACAACAAAACCTTCACCTCAGACTTCAGTCTCTCTGTAAATGAGAAGATCAAGTTCCTTTCAGACTTTAAAGTCTCACATTGAGTCAAAGTACCCCCTCATTGCTCTTATGCAGTGCCTGAACTGCAGATTCACCTCTCAAAAGACATGGCACAGCAAGGACTGAATAGTCTACAGGAACTGCTGCTAGGTGTTGTGCTGAGGACTAGCTGCTCTCTCCTATCTTGAAATTACCTTCTGGTACCTCTGTCTACCTTGCCCCTTTCCAGGTGGGTGACTCTCCTCTGTACTTGGTATTTTTTCACCAACCATAAACCTTTTCTACCACATAAAATTACCTGATCCAGGCCATACCCAAGAAGAGTGAGTAGTGAGGGACACCTTCCAGAGAAGGCTGGCCTTTGTCCTGACTAAGGACCCAGAAGGGGAGTGAGTCACGATGGCTCAGTGGAACATGCACCAGCAAGCTGTCATCCCTTAAAGCTTACTCGAGCAAGAATCTCATCTGCAGAACGCTCCAGCTCCCAGTCCCCATAAAAGGGGAGCTCTGCCACACACACCACATCAAGAACAAAACCAGCCCAGAGGTGAGAAATTTCAGCTAAAACCACAAAACCAAAGCCTGGAGATGAAACACCTTCTTCTAGAGCCCAGTGTCAAAGAAGTGGCAAAAAGCTCCCCAAGGGCATTGACAAGCTACTCACAGCTCCAGGATCATTTGCTGAGCCTGTCAGATAGGGCAGACACAGTGTTTAGTACAGTGCTCAAAATCTAACAGCACTCCCTCCCCTCTGGCTGCTAACTTACTTACCACACCAGGGCACTCCTTCTCTTCTTTCTCCAGGAAGATCTTCTCTAGAATGAGGAAAGTCAGGAAACCAATGATCACCCAGAGACCCAGAAGCTTCTGCTGCTGAAAGCTCTGCCCTTCTCCTGAGGAACAAGAGAGAAATCTTCGTGTCACTACCAAGTACACAGTGTTTCCCACATGTGAGCCCACCCCACCTCAAACAGTTTAACGAGCAGTTCCAAGACAAAAAAAAACAAGAAAGGAACATGGGAACACCTCCTGTAGGAAAAAGGAGCAAATACATCACACAGCAAATTAGTTTAACTTGCTCATTCTTGATCTAACATATATCCCCATCTAGGGGCACTCAGAGTGAGAGCCCCCACCCCTTTTGCTTCAACAGTGCAATCCAGAATATTTCCTGACAACACTGGGAATTTTCCTGAGCTCTGGAGGTAAGTGAAGATTACAGCAACAAAAATCCTGCAGCTATATCTACTGAGCAGCAAGCCCTGACATGAAATCTGCCATTAGTGGAGCTACAGACTCACCTTCCCCTTTCTGCCACACCTGAGCAAGTTATTAAGCTCAAAGCTATAAACTTTCTTTTCAATTACAGCCAAGCTTGTGAGATAATCATCCACTCAGCCTGGCTGCAAAAATGGAGATTGCATTGCAGTGGAAGAACAGAACGACTCTGTAATGGGGCTTACATGGGTCAAGGAAACCTTTATGCTTCAGGACAGTCTGGCAGAAGCAAACAAGCTAAAGCAAGAAGACAGAGTCATTTGGGAACCACTGCAGAAAGGGGGGAAAAAAGGACAACAGGTTCTGCTGGCAGTGCACGAGGAAGAAGAGGACAGGACCAAAGTTCCAGCAGATTTGAAATCCCAGGACATAAGTGCAAGCAACTCTGGGAAACCCAGGGCATTCTTTCCCCTCTCTCCCATTTTCAGTGGGGAAATGATTTCTTGGTTTCTCAACAGGTGGGATGCAGCAGCACTTGCCTTCTATGCTATCAGTTTGCTGAAGCAGAGAGATAAAATCACTACAGGTTTCAACAGCCCTAGCTATCTGGGGGGTGAAGGAGATAGAGCTTATGGTATCGGTGTATCCCAACCCAAACAGTATTTAGTTCTCTGGCAAATACAGGTTTCTGTCACCTGCATTTCCTTTTTCTCTCCCTGCCCCCACCGCTCCCTCTCCCCGCCCCATCTTAGGCATGGCTCTATGAACAATTTTCCATTACTTCCTTGAGCAAAGACTGAGACAGCAACACATTCGGGCTCCCATAGATCAAAGTACCCACCATCCCCAGCTGAGATGGTGCACGTGATCGTGTACCAGACCACACACGCATTAATAACTTCTCATCAGGTTAAAGCAGCATTTGCTTTCCTTACAGAAAGGACAAAGGAAAATCAACAGAGATTTACAGGAGTCCAAGGCAAGACAGGAAAAGCTGATAGACAAGAAATCCATTGCTAGTTACTAAACATAAAGAAACCATGGGCAACTCAGGAAGCCTCCAATCTCAAAATCTTGGGAGGACTGCAGAGTACAGAGATGAAGTATTAGATGTGTTTTTATTGTTCTTATATCCTTCCCTCGGTATTTGCTTTTAAACATTGTTTGAAAGAGAATACCAGCATAGACCAGTTTTCGGGCTGACCCAGCCTGGCTGGTCTTGTGTTTTCAAGATGGAAAAGACTTAAAAAACATAGTAGTAGGCATAGCATGGACAGTTTCTAGGCACATAAGACTTTCATACCTGTCGTTGCACTGCATGTGTAGGCCCAGGCTTCGGGAAGCAGGTGCAGAAACACATTCCCCAGTAGTCCTCCAATTGCAAAACTCAACAACTGCTTCAAACGGTGTGATCCAGCTAAAAAAAAAAAAAAAAAAAAAAAAAAAAAAAAAAAAAAAAAGAAACAAAAGCCAATCACAACTCAGCCGGGAGCCAAAACATCTCCAGCTGAGATTTTGAACAAAGTGACTTGAATTAGAAGCATCTGCAAAGCAAGCTTTCAAAGGAGTGAGCATAAAACAAACAGCTGGAGTGCAAGAGAAAGCCCTTGCACCACTTGGATGATGGGACAGCAGTGTGTGGGAGGGTCCTGGACCAAGCAGGGTGCAAAACAAGCAATACTCTTTGTACAAGCTCCATCCAGGGCGTGCATTTGTTCCAGGACTCCCTACCAAATTGGCAGGTATGGACTAAAGCACCAGAAATGGACTGTCTGTTTTAGACAATTCTATTTCTATGACAAGGTCTTGTTCATCACTGTGCCATTCGGTCACAACCCAGGATTTTTGGCTTCAGAAAGGCTAATGCAGGCAGCAGGCTTACCTTCTGACCGCAGGGCAGCTCCTGTCTCAAATGGGATCACCAGCAAGGGGAAGACCCCACTCAGCCCCACCATGAACGAACCGATGAGGGAACAAATCCAGGCATCCAGCCGCTCGCTGCTGAAAAGGTTTCCCCAGGACTCTGCCTCCTTCTCACACAGAGGACCAGAACTCGCAGCAACATGACTCCTCGGGAGCTGCTGAGCTTCACAGGCCACGATTAGAAACAAGGAGAGTGTCCCATCAAGCAGAAGCTTTTGTTTTGTCATCGCTAAGTGGTCTCAGCCAGGCTGGCCGGTCTCTGAAAAGAGCAAGGGAGAGCAGTTCTGAGAGTGGGCCTGAGACTCCCTCCCACCATCCCAGAGGAAAGGCCTCGGTCACGCCATCCCCTCCCTCAGCATTTTAGCACAGGTATGTAGCCCCATAAAGAGCACCTGAAACTCTTCTTGATTTCAACACAGCACTAAAGGGCAGAGAGGCTGTTTATTATCAAGTGTATGAAGCTGCACATGAGATATCTTCTGAAAGAGCCTGGCTTCCAGCATCTCCCCTCAGGTGGGCTGGACAAGGACTCCAAAAACCCTTCTCCTTGCCCTTGAGTGTCCTGAGGCTTCAGAGAAAGGTATTGACCAGAGATGCTACCCAGATAATATTTCTCTTTGCCATGAAGCAGCATCCATGTAACAAATGAGGATGCAAGACAGGCAACATAACAGAGGTCTGTAAAATTATGAGTAGTGTACAGATGGTGATGGGGTAGATTTTCCACCATCTCTTCAGTGCTACCAGCCACCACGTGAAGCCAGTGAGGGTCAGCTTCAAAACAACACAAACAAATGTGACTCTTCATCAGCAGGTGACTTGTGTGATAGTACTTCTTCAAAAATGATGGAAAATTTTACATGGATGCAACAAAAAACAGAACAAGTACTAGAAAGACAAATCTATTCATTTTTCATGGTTAGACAGCTCATATTAAACTCAGGAAGTCCCTTATCTGAAAGAAGCTGGAAGAGTAGTTGGAAAATATCATATATACTTGTCGTATTTTTATTCTTTCCTAGAATGATACTGGGTTAGATGGTCTCTTAGTCAAAATCAGCACAGCTGTTACTAAGAACTCTTCAGTCACAAAAAAACTGGAGAAAAGCAGGCATATTAGAAGAGGAAAATTAAGATAATTACACTCTCATTGGCAAGCAGGAAAGCAAAAGATGCAAAGGCTGAAGTATAAATGCTCCTTCAGTCTCCAGAAGTGAAATGTGACAAGCAAAATTAACTTGGAAATGGGAGAAAAGGGCAGGTTAGGAAAGAACAGCTTAACAATTGTTTACAAAACAGCTGTGCGTGGAGAGGGACTAAAGGCATTCACCTGAAAGCATTTAAGAAACCAGTCAAAGTAATCTCTGAAGCATTAGTGACCATCTTTGAAAATTTACAGGAATATGGGAAGGCCACAGAAGGCTGGAGAAGCATCATGCCTCACCTACCTTTATAAAAAGAAAAAAAAAGGTGGGAGAAGACTTAAGTTACAGACCAGTAACTTCAATCCTCTGAAATATTCTTGATCAAGTTAAATGATCAGTTTGCAGTTACCTACAAGATAAGAAAGTGATAAAGATAGCAAAGCATTAAGTAACAGCCAGACAGAAAAGGGGCCTGAAATCATCAAGGCAAAATTCAGGGTGTTGGAACCAATGTAAAGGCTCACTGCAGCTGAAAAAGGTGGTGTTGCCCCTTCTCTCCATCGCCCTCGTGAAGCTTCCCCTCCCCACGTTCAGACCTGACTCCATGAGTGAGCAGGGTCAGAACAAACTAGCAGGAAAAACTGTTTGCTTTTTTTTTTTTTAAAAGACTTGGCCCTTTTCCAGTTTCAGTCCCTGAGCTAAAAAAATCACTGCAGGAGGAAGGTCCAGCTGCAGTGAGCAATCAAAAAGAAAATGAAAGGACAGGGTCCCCTGGCTCCCATGAAGGAGAACACTGAGTTGCAGTGACCACAGACACCAGGGGCAGGGAGGATGCAAGATGGAGCCAATGAAGACACTGGTTTGGCTAGCTGGGCAAGAACCACTACAACTTTTTGTGGCAAGATAACGTCTGATCAAGTGTAAACTCTACTGACCCATACAAAACCCATCATTTTTTTTTTTTCCCCCCTCAAGAAAAAATAAATCCCTCAACACAGCATGTTCAAACCAGCTCAGGATTTTGTGGCATCTTATTGCAGTGCTTTGAACCAGCTGCAGGAACTCTAGACCTGCCTCTAACATAACTGTCAAACCAATCTTGGTAAAGATCAGTACAAAACAATATACTGAGGGGAAAAGAAAAATAAAATCAAATGGACGTGACAAAACAGTAACTCTGATGTGTCACCAGAAAAAAAAAAAGCCTACACGCATTACATTCATTACCAAATTAATTCCAAGCCAGCATGCTTATGTTGCTACAAAGTAGACAAATGACATATCCTGGGACATATTAGTAGACACGTTGTAGGTGTGACACAGAAGCAGTGATTCCATTCACATTCAGCCAACAGACCGCACCCAGCCTCACATACTCTTCTTTATAGAACAGATGCAAAAAATCAGAGACATTGCAGTGGAAAGAAACAAAACTTAGGATGTAGAAATCATGACCTAGGGGAAAAAAAAAAAAAAAAAGACTGAAGGACCTGGGAGTGTTTAGTCTTAAAAAGATAACACTGAAGGGAACAGAACAGTCTGCATCCACTAAAAGTGACAAGAAAGGGGGAAAGTGCTCAACTCTTCTTACACCTCGTAGCATCAGCTCAAATGATAAACAAGATCCAGCCTGGATATGAAGAAAGAAATTTCCATACTGCCAAAGTGGTGATATACCGAAGCAGGTTATCTATGATGCAGAAACTCCAGGACTGGTTTTGATTGGTTTTCTTTTGAGAAAAATAACAAATACCTGATGCAGATGCCATTTCATTGCAAAGACGAGATCCCTTCTTGAAGTCCCTCTAGCCCTACACCTGTAATTCAACGTAACCTGCTGAGACCCTTGTTCTACTGGCAGCACTCGACCAAAGGGGGTTTTCAGCTGTAAATCACTATTGGAACAACCACTGCAAAACAGGGAAGGGGAGTGGAGCTGTTGCAGGGGGGGAAGCAAGGGACACTTTTATCTCTTAGAGCACTCCATGGACCAATTCAGCTCAGGCACGGAAGCAAACAGACGCAGGGCTGATGCTCGGATCACCAGTAACAACTGTGAGGCCAGAGATGCTGCCCTCTGCCCTGCTCCACCATCCAGCCTATCTGGGATGCTGCCAGGCCCTCTGGCTCCTCTCACTAGGATCCAGGCTCCTCCCACAGCTATGCAGACACACAACTGTGGTAAAACTATGCCAGAGAAGCCCCCCAGAATTCTCCTTCAAAAGAAACCAAAAAAACCCCAACGAAACCACAAAAAGATAAGAAGCTCTTAAAATGTTAGCTGTCCCCTAACTAAACGGAGTTTCTTCTGAAGCCAGCAGCCACAGGGAGGTGATGGGACTCTTCTGGCAGACTACACCAGCCACAGCCTTCTCTCTGCTCACCAGCTGCTGCACGACAACCTGCAGTTAGAGAATTTCCTGCTTTAAAAAAAAATGATGGGCACCCCTTCCAACCCCAGAGCGGGCCTGATGGATGCTCTTTTCCTTTACAGCAGAATTAGACCTAGAAAATTACAAAGCACAGCTTACTGTGAGGAGCAGAGCAAAAAAATTGGGATTTATACAACCACCACATGCCTACGAAGAGGCAACAAACACACACAGCAAAACAAATGCTCTCTGCAGCTCGGCAATGACAGGAAGTGGCACAAACTGGTGTCTTCTGCAACACTGTCACCACAAAGCCAACAGTGTTTGAGAAAGCCTGGAAAAGAAATCACTGCAACAGGTCCATTTATTTCCATCTTGTTCTCCACACTCACAGCCCCAAGGGACATCTGAAAGGGTCTTCAAGGTTAAGTGACCAAAATCCTGGAGAGAGGCAGCAGCACATAGGACAAAGGCCATGTTCAGGTCCCCTGCACGCCTGGCTTCGTGTCCTTCTTACAGCAGAGAAAGGGACCTTTTTCCTCCAAAAAGGGATGGTGATGAACAATAAATGGGTATGAAGGGGTAGAAAACTGATGCCCCTAACTCACATTTGTGTCAGTCAACTTTCTGCAGCCCCCAGTTCGTTCTTCTCTTCTTACTCACACAACAGAAAAACAGTGCATTTCTTTACACCTGTGCTGCCTGCCTGTCATTACCTTGTAGCTCAAGAACGTCCCCTATCTTGTGCCATAAATTCCTGATGCTTATAAAACATCTATGACGAACTTCGTGCATCATCCAGAACACACCTGATCTTTGTGCCCAGCTAATTAGTTAGAGCATATTCCCAGCGTTTGCTTCTTCCTAACATATCATAACCATTTGAACTAAAAATACGCACTTTTTATCTCTATAGCCCCTTTGCTTCTCTATCTCATTTAGTACACACTCTTCACAAGACGTTAAGTTTACTGCATGTTTGTAAAGTCTCTAAATCCAAACTGGCTGCTCCCAAGACAAACACATAAGAGGAAGAAAAAGAGCAGTCAAGATGTAGTCCTAGGAAAAAAAAGCTCCAGAGAGAAAATAATACCCTGCCACTAAAGTTGCAGAGGGTGGAAGAAGTCTTTACCTACCCCTAATTTTAGGCAACATCTGTTTTAGGAACCCAGCTAAAGAAAGTCTTGAGGAATTTCTAGAGAAAGGACCTGCAGGTTCTCAGTGAAGTCCGTGGTCGCAATGAGGCAGAGGCATAACCAGGCTTATAGAGATGTGTTTTTCTGAAGAAGGGTATATGACCTATTTAAGAACACGCATGGCAAAGAAATAGCCAGTGCGTTATTTACTTGTCAGTTTTGACAACGACACCATTTGAGATCACAGCTCCCAGCCCTGCTGGATCACAACCCAGTCACCATTACCCCTGGAGCGTTCTCCAGAACACCACGTGTCCCATGCAGGTCTCTGAACTAAGCATTCAGGAGTCGGGTCTGTTCAGCTCCTTCTGCAACAGCCTCAGGACTGGAATAACCGTGGGGTCTTCCCAGCTCAGGAAGAAGAAACAAATGAGAATTTGCCATTTTACACACCCCTGAGTGGGGGCCGGGGGAGGCTGCACCCCAAGCCAGAAGAGCTCCTGCTGGGAGACTCCCCCCCACCTCACAGTGCTCACTGAGCACCTCTGTGGCAGGCAGCGGCTTAGAATAAACGGACAAAACTTAAAATGCCAAGACAAAACCTACTGGAAAAGGGAAAACAAAATACTGACACGACGACAATTCCTGCAGCAACCTGCCGCCTCCCTCCCTAGACACTCTGCCTTTCCAGACCACACAGCTTCATCTTTGTCTCAGCGTAATTGCCCATTGCCACACAATAACGTTTTAGATGGCTGGGGGGGGGGTGGTGAAAAAGAAAAGGCTTTTTTACAAGTGTTTTCCCTGGAAGCCGGTTGCTTGGTATTACAGTTGCAAAAGAGTACCGCATGGAATGGAAAAAAGTAATTTTCCAGGGAGGAAGCATAATTTTCAGCCAAAAAATTCTCCACAAAGCCGCCTCCCTCCATTAGCCCTGTGGAGAGCTTTGAATTCCTCCTGGAAGCCCTGACCTCGGCGGTGGCACAGAAGGTCCCCAGTTCCCGTGGCCGCCCGCCGCGCCGAGCGCTCCCTTCTCTCCTCAAATCACTGCCCATCCTTAGGGAACGCACCGCTCGGGCGGGACCCTTCCCCTTTCCCCCATCCCTTTCATAAAAACCTCACTTTGCAGAAAGACTCGCATTTCTGCAAATCACACCCACCGCTGCATGCGCAGCTAAAAGCTGGAGATGCACAGGATTAACCAAGGGGGTAGCACAGACCAGAAGGGACCGCAGACCCCGGGGCAAACCTAAAGCGGTTAAAACCACCGTGGTCTGGGAGGCAGCGGCTCCTTCCCCATCCTCCCCAGGATGAAAAAGTTTCAGGATGAGGCAATGGCGTTCACCCCCTCAGGGCTAGGTGGGATTTCTCTCCTCCCAGCCCGCTCACCGTGGCAGCCGGAGGCAGGGGCCGGGCAGAACCTCCCCTCCCGCAGACACCGGTGCCGCAGCCCCCTCGCCCCAGCCCGGGCCAGGCTCCCGCACAGCTCCTAATCCGCAGGCGATTAATACAGCGGCCCCGCTCTTGCCACTGTTCCTGTCATCCCGGGGGATGGCGTCTGACGGGACAGACAGCGCGGTTTTTCCATCCGAGGAATGCTGACCCGTGCAAAGTGAGGCATATTGGGGGGTGCGGGGGAGGGAGAGAAGGGGGGGGGGGAATTAACCCTGCCTGTTCACTCACCTTACCGGGCATTAGTTGCCCCCCCGAGGTGCATGTGCCACCGTGGCCACGCAGACCCCGGCCAGCCCGCGACGCCGGGGACATCTCCCCGCTCCTCTCGCCCCGCGGGGGAGGCGGAGAGCGCGGCACACCCCCCCGCCCCCTCCCCCGGCGCCAAGATCTTCCCGCAGCATCGTCCGCCGGAGAAGCGACTTCCAAAACTTTCCCCGCTGGGGCCGAACTCCGAGCTCCCGGCTCCGGGCACGCCCGCAGCGGCAGCCACGGGGCTCCGCTCCCCCAGCGAGCTGCAGCAAAGGCGGGCTGGACGGGGAGAACGCCGGTCCCGGGAGCCTGGGGGAGAGCTGGGGCCCCGGGAGCGGACGGTGCGGAGCCCGCGGTCTCGCCGGGCCGCGGCCAGGCGCTGCTGCCCCCCACGTCTTTCCTAAACTTGCCCCGGGCCGGGCCCCGCCGGTGCCGGACTCGGTTCCGCTGCCCGCTGCCCGGCCGTACCCGGCCCCCCAACCCCGCAATAGCAGAGCGGGGTTAACCCGGCGACCCGACCCCCCGCCCCCGCCAAGCCGGCGTTACCGTGCG